CCCCCCCCCCCTCCTCGGCTCCTCTTCTTCTTCTTCTTCTTCTTCTTCTTCTTCTTCTTCTTCTTCGCTCCTCCTTTCGTCTTCTTCGTCTTCCCCTCGTCCCCCTCACATTTTCATCTTCCTCCATAACCATTCTTCTTCGTCGTCGTCTTCCCCTCCTCCGCCACTTGTTTTTTTTTCTCTTCTTCTTCTTCTTCTTCTTCTTCTCGTTCCCCTTCCCCTTCTTCTCTTTCTTCTCCTTCTTCTTCTTCTTCTTTTTCTTCTTCTTCTTCTCCTTCTTCTTCTTCTTCTTCTTCTTGATCATTTGGTAGGTCACGTGAAATACGACAGTCCGTCCACCTACAGCCCCCCTCTCGGCTCTTCTTCGTCTTCTTCTTCTTCTTCTTCTTCGCTCCTCCTCCTCTCGTCTTTTTCGCTCCCCCTCCTCCTCTCGTCTTCTTCGTCTTCCCCTCGTCCCCCTCGCATTTTCATCTTCCTCCATAACCATTCTTCTTTTCGTCGTCTTCCCCTTCTCCGCCACTTGTTTTCTTTCTCCTCCTCGTCTTCTTCTTCTTCTTCTTCTCCTTCTCCTTCTCCTTTTTCTCCTTCGAGTTCGTTGACATTCGGTAGGTCACGTGAGACACGACAGGCGAAAAAAAAAAAAAAAATGAAGGTCATCCTCCTCCCCCTCCTTCTCCGCTCTTCTTCTTCTTCTCCTTCTTCTCTCCTCGTCGCCCTCTCGTCTTCTTCTTCTTACTCTCCTCCCCCTTGCGTTTTCATCTTTCTCCTCGACCTTTCTTGATCTTCTTCTTCCCCTCCTCACCTTTCTTCTTCTTCTTCTTCTTCTTCTTCTTCTTCTTCTTCAATTTCTTCTTCTTCTTCTTCTGCTGCTGCTGCTCCATTCGCTAGGTCTACTTCTCTGTTCTTCTTCCCCTCCTTCCCTACTCCTCCCTGCCTTTCTCCATACCCTACCGCTGCCGCCATACCCTGCCACCGCGATAACCTACTGCCGCCATACCCTACTATTGCCACACCCTACCGCCGCCGCCGTACCCTACCGACATACCCTACCGCCGCCATACCCCGCCGCCATACCCTACCACAACCATACTTTTTCCCCATCTTCTTCTTCTTCTTCTTCTTCTTCTTCTTCTTCTTCTTCTTCTTCTTCTTCTTCTTCTTCTCCTCCTCCATACTTCTTCCCTATCTTCTTCTTCTTCTTCTTCTTCTTCTTCTTCTTCTTCTTCTTAGTCTTCCCCTCGTCTCCCTCGCTTTTACATCTTCCTCCATAACCTTTCTTCTTCTTTGTCTTCCCCTTCTCCCCCACTCGTTTTTTTTCTCTCTCTTTCTTCCTCTTCTTCCTCTTCTTCTTCTTCTTCTTCTTCTTCTTCTTCTTCTTCTTCGTTGACATTCGGTAGGTCACATGATACACGATAGGTTATTTAAAAAAAAAGAAAAAAGAAGGCCGTCCTCCTTCCCCTCCTCCGCTCATCTTCTTTGTCTTCTCCTTCTTCTCTCTTTGTCATCCTCCCTTCTTCTTCTTTTTCCTCTCCTCCCCCTCGCGTTTTCATCTTTCTCCTCGAACTTTCTTAATCTTCTTCTTCTTCCCCTCCTCACCCTCTTCTTCTTCTTCTTCTTTTGCTCCATTCGCTAGGTCTACTTCTCTCATTTTCTTCTTCCCCTCCTTCCCTACTCCTCCCTGCCTTTCTCCATACCTTACCGCTGCCGCCATACCCTACCGCCATAACCTGCCGCCATAACCTACCGCCGCCATACCCTACCGCCGTACCCTACCGCCATACTCTACCGCCGCCATACCATACCGCCACCATACCCTACCGCCATACCCCGCCACCACACCCTACCTTAATCTTCTTCTTCCTCCGCATCTTCTTCTTCTTCGTCGTCTTCTTCTTCTCCTCCTCCTCTCGTCTTCTTAGTATTCCCCTCGTCTCCCTTGTGTTCTCATCTTCCTCCATGACCTTTCTTCTTCTTCTTCGTCTTCCCCTTCTCCCCCACTCGTTTTCTTTGTCCTTCTCTTCTTCTTCATCTTCTTCTTCTTTCTTCTTCTTGTCCTTCTTCTAGTTCGTCGACATTCGGTAGGTTACATGATACACGATAGGTTATAAAAAAAAAGAAGGTCGTCCTCCTCCCCCTCCGCTTATCTTTTTCGTCTTCTCCTTCTTCTCTCCTCGCCGTCCTCTCGTCTTCTTCTTCCCCTCCCCCTCGTGTTTTCATCTTTCTCCTTGAACTTTCTTTTTCTTCTTCCCCTGCTCCCCCTCTTCTTCTTCTTCTTCTTCTTCTTCTTCTTCTTCTTCTTCTTCTTCTTCTTCTTCTTCTTCTTCTTCTTCTGCTCTATTCGCTAGGTCTTCTTCTCTCTCTTCTTCTTCTTCCCCTCCTTCCCTACTCCCTCCCTGCCTTTCTCCATCCATCCATCACTCCCTCCATCCCATCTCGCCATTCTCCATCCTCCATCATCCCTCCCTCCATCCATCCATCCCATCTTGCTATCCTCCATCATCCCAAACTTTCTTTTTCTTCTTCCCCTGCTCCCCCTCTTCTTCTTTTTCTTCTTCTTCTTCTTCTTCTTCTTCTTCTTCTTCTTCTTCTTCTTCTTCTTCTTCTGCTTTATTCGCTAGGTCTTCTTCTCTCCTCTTCTTCTTCCCCTCCTTCCCTACTCCCTCCCTGCCTTTCTCCATCCATCCATCACTCCCTCCATCCCATCTCGCCATCCTCCATCATCCCTCCCTCCATCCATCCATCCCATCTCGCTATCCTCCATCATCCCATCTCGCCATCCCTCCCTTCCTCCCTCCATCCATCCATCTTCTTCTTCTTCTTGGACGTTGTTAAGCAGTCTCCCTCCATCCCTCCATCCTCCCATCTCGCCATCCCTCCCCCCCCTCCATCCCTCCATCCTCCCATCTCGCCATCCC